AATTTGTGTTCATCCATGAGCTGTAATTGTAACAGGATACGTTCTGTGGATAATGCCTCACTAAGCTCAACACTTTTTTCCATCTCGTTACCTTCATCATCATCATCATCATCACCATCATCATCATCATCATCATCGTCTTGAGAAGTGAGAGGGAGAGCTTGTTTTTGTGGATTGTTTTCTGCTTTGGCAACAATAGGTGGTTCAGGGGTTGGGGGAATGACTGCTGGCGTATCAATAGCTGATGTTGTTGTTGTTCTTGCTGATTCATTTAGTGGTCTCAAACGGTTCAAATATGATAGTTGCGGTTTCTTGTGTTTGAGTTGTCAAGCAAAATATGTGCTGCATGTGGTTGATCTCTGATGTACATATGCTTTGGAATTAGAACAAATTCTTCTGCTGCCATTTCTATGCAGTCAAATACTTGAAGCAAAAATAAAGTATTTGTCTGATTAGATAAAATCCTTGTTTGCTCAGTATAATAGCTCGTTTTTTTTCAGGACTCGTTTTTGGATTGATTAAAATTTTGTATGCTGTTTCGAATTTATTGAGGTTTGGGATACTGACAGGCACATTTCCGTTGACTACATTGAGCAAGCATTCACAAACAACTGATATGATTTGACTATTTGATGTTTTTTTTCTAATGAAGCCTCGTAGTTGAGTTGGGTTCAACTGTACCATGTGTTGCAGAATAAATAATTTTTTCGCGTTCATTTGTGATGGGTGTCACTTCTGCTTTATCTAAAGGTAAATAGAAAATTGACGGACCAGGTGGTATTATGTTTGAACAGTATCTGAGACAGTCTGATGTTCGGGGATCTAAATCTATTAATAGATGTCCAAAGCTGTCCTTTGTAGCCAGTTCATACGATTGACGTAAGAATTTAGGTGCATTAAGTTGCCTTCCGAGGTGATCAAGTTGCTGAATATCACGAGGTGATTTGAATAAAATGATGTGAGATGTGTTCAAATCAATAGTTCGGGACCATCGGCTTTGTTGGAATAAATTATGTTGAACATAAATAACATCTAAGCCCCTGTGTCTTCCTGCTGTTGCTAATTTAACGAATTCTTTATCATTGTATATTTCTTCGCATGAGTCATCAAACACTAACAGAATGTTTTCAATGTTTCTCAAACGATCGAATCCGTCAAATTTTACAAATTCAATATGAATTCTGCGAGCGTTTAACTCGTCCATAACTACAGGTTGAATATCTTTGTAAAAAAATAACACTCTTTCAAATTTGGGATAAAATGATCTTCCTGTCAATAGCTTGAAAATCAACTCTGTTTTTCCGGATCCTGACGGTCCTACAACTGCCATAAACAGTCTTGTCGACGTATCAATAATTTTATTCATATCCTTGGGTTTGGTAGCACGTACCCAACTAAACCAGACAATATTGAAAACCAAACTGACGTTTCTTCACAGCTTATTTGCGTCCAAGAAAGTTTATAGATGCAAAAAGTAAGTAAAATGAAAATTAAAATCATTTGAGACATAAAAACTACTTCTGATCTGGGGACTGTAACATCATTACAAAACTTCCAAGATTTTTGTTCAGTGTTTGTTTGATCATAAGCAAAATCTGTAACTATAGTAGCATCAGGCTCATCAATAGCTAATTCAGTCATTCAGTTGTTCGATTTATATTTCTCTCTCTAACTGATTCTTTCTAACTCCTCTCCATCTATAACACTAGTTTCTTAATGAGAATGAAAAAATGTGTTCTTGTCATAAAATATGTATTATCTATACTTCAGAACAATAAAAAATCTCGTATCGAGTATAACTTCTAGAGTCATTAGTTATGTCATTGTCATTGTCATGCAGCATTTCCACAACATAATTGGCTGGCACATATTCAGTTTTTGCATGAAATACAACTTTCTTTACAGAGTTCTCTTTTACTAGTTTCTGAACTTCCTCAGGTAGGTCACTGCTTTGAAGATCCATTTGAACTCCGGGTTGACGTTTGGGCACTAAGACTAGCCTGGGAAGACATACTCCTCGTTTGTTGGCCAACATTTTGACTAAACTTGTGTCGTTGAAAATAGATGAATTGGTCAATCACTGGGAAAAAACTTCTTAAAATAGTCAATTCGTCTCCTGAGAGAGTAATTTGTCCTTTCCGCTGCACAACTTGACCTCGGCAATTGATTTGTTCTGTTCTGGTCAAAGTTACTTTGATATCACTCTCTGGTGTCATCCAAGCCAAGAACACTAAATTTGGAGATAGGTACGTCTCCGCTTTTGCTAGTCTTTCGTTGTTGCTCATTTGTCAGCCAATCAAAAAAAACCTTCGTTTTTTTCAGGGAACAGTGATTCCTAGAGTTATAATTAGGTTGTAAATGTCTATTGCAAGATGGATAATTCTTTAAATGTAAGTTTTCAATTCTCGGGCAACCCAATTCATCAAGATTCACAACTTCTCGATCCAAGTACTTTGCAAGGAGTTTAGCCTTCTCTTTTCCTTTGGCGTAAAATACAGCGTTAGGATTTCTCAAAACAAAACTTTGAATAATCTGATTTAGGTTTAAATATAAATAATCTCCGCTTTCCCAGTGAATTCCGTGCAAGTATTGTGTTAACCAGTTGTACGCTTTTTGTTCAGCTTTGGGTAGTGAGTTGAAAGGGACTGGAGGTAGAAAAATAAGAGAGTCACTATATTCAGAAGTCGTAATGGCTATTTCTTTAACTATAAAGGTACTTTTTTATAGCGAAATCCTTCCAAATCTATGACGACTGATCGTTCGCTCAACATTCTAATAACTGATAGAGTTCTGGTCTGGTTAGTTTGACGAATAAACAGAAAGTAATACCGCTCAAATGACCAATCAGACTGCTGTTACACTTCCAGGGTAACATATAGCAGTAAGTGGGACCCGTGTTGTAAACTTCGTCAACAAAACCTGCAGCGTCATGTAAAATTGCATGCAGACGTAGTATTTTTGAATCTTTTAAATATTTGTCCAAGGAATAGTCGTCTATGCCAATAAGACCTCCATATGGTCTAAGTTTAATAGCTACGTCATAATTTAATTCGTTTTCACTGGAAAAGAAAAACAGAGAACATGCAGCCAGAAAGTAATTCCGACGGTCAGAGTTTTCCGGATAGGTTTTTTTCACAGTCAAATAAATCTCATGAATGATTTCCAAGTCTGTTGAGGTAACTCTACGTTTTTCCAATTTCATTTTTTTCCAACACTCTTTGAGCCTGCTGAATTTCAAAACAGTGGAAATAAAAGTAATCGTTCAGATGCCAACAGCTGATATCTACAACTCGGTGATATACATTGAATTAGTCCATCAGCCTTTTTCATATATTTTCAACATTTTAGTAAACATAAATTTTCAGTCTGCGCTTCATTTTTTCTTACAATCAGCTAGTGACAAAGTCAAACAAGAAGACAAATCTATTCAATTTCAAAAGTAGTATTCGACAAATCAAATGTTTTTACCAGTTTTTGTTTCCAAATCAAACTCAAAATTTCTAAACTGGTTGAAAATAACACGCAGCTAAAAGTACAATTTATTCTGTCTGTGATTTCGTGATAAGCGTATTTTAAACTCGGGGAAAATTTAGAGAAAGTTTAGCACAATTATCACCTTCCAAAACCTACTGTTCCAAAAATTTTTATTTGATGAACAATTTCATGTGATTTAAAATGTTAATTTGCTTGTTTTAGATGCCATCATATATCGAAACAGTCAAAATCCCTTTCGGCGGTTTAGAGCTAATTAACATTCCTGTGGAGGAAATTCACGTCAGATACAAGGCTGGGCCCGATCCTGAGGTATTAGTGGTGAAGGAGCTCTGGGTCAAGCCACGCCAGTGGGCCAAGGGGAAACCCCTTCCCCGGACTTACGTCCCTGGGTCGCCCGAGTGGGAACTCCTCTCTGAGCAACTCAGGGACGTGGTCGCCCTCGGGGGTTGGATTGCCTACAGGGCTTCTGATCTGCTGGTGCTGATGGACAGCCCAGCCGCCTCCATCTATTCTTACCTCTTCCAATAAAGAAGAGGTTTTTTTTTCTTTTTTACCAAATTTTATTTTTTTAGTCCCCTTCCTCAACATCCCCCTTTCTTTATTATTTGTTTATTATTATTATTATTAATATTACCACCAATCCTTCGACGAGCTCAACTTTCGGGTAAGTCATTCTTATTTTGTTCAAATAGATCATTCATTTTGCCTAAATAGAGGTGGCGGCCGCCGCACTTGACGAATTTTCCTTTCTTCGAGATTCAGCAATAAAACATGCATTTTTGAAGGAAATCGTTCACCGCAGCCAACAGTTAAGCTACGCTGCCAAAATATTGGCTTTCCTATATACCATATAGTTTGGTTGCATATAAAAGGTATATAACGTCATTTTACATGTAAACAAGCCAATACCCCCAAACTTTAGAAGGGAAAACATGCACCAACCAAAACTTAATTCCTTTCCCGTTTCCATAAAGTGGCTGGAAAATTACCAATTTTAACCCCCCTTAAAACATGCGTGCCTGAAAAAGTAGGGACTTTAACCCCTTTGGGGGTTAAAAGTGGTAAGTACAACGGCACACTGAATTTTGGGGGGGGGGGGTTAAAAGTCGTCATTTTCCTAGCCACTTTTACTATACTACTCCTGGAAGAATTTCAAGTTTTCCCTGAAAAAAAAAAATCTTTTTTCAATTGCACAATAGTAAGGATGATATATTGTTCGTGAAATTCTCAGTTTTTAAGCTTCTACATTTTAAGACCCATCAAACTATTAAAGTCCCATGGGCTACTTAGACCACTTCCTCTAAAGCCAAAACACGGTTCCAAATATTTATTCCTCTCAAAATATACACGAAAGGTTTGCATGCCTTTAAATTAAGTGCGTTTTCCATTATAAAAATCATTCGAAAAATCCAGTTTAACTATTCTTAAAAAACTGCGTAAAGATGGCGAAATATGATTTTGCGAAAAAATGTTTTTACGTGCTTTCAATCGATTCTCAAAAAGTACAAAACAAAGAATTAATTAGTTATCATATCAAAACAAAATCAACTGATCTTTCCTCGCGACTGTTGGGTTGCAGACGGTTGGTTGGGGTTCCATTTCAGAAGATTGGGCTTCACTACCAATCTAGGAGATGGAAAATGCGAGCTGTGCTCTTGAATAACACGTGGCGTCACACAAATTACATGCTGACCTTTCCAGTACTTCACCATGTTTAAGGATTGTAATGATAACACAATATCAGCTTGGCAAATGCTCGTTTCTTGGCTCAGCTCTTTAATTGACTGGCTATTTTTACCCAAACGGTCCAAAATAACCCAGAGCCAGTAACTTCTGTAGCTTAACTTTCCAAGATCAGATAAGGGTTTCTCAGGCGAACCAATGACACCTTGTCTTTTGGACAGCTCGTAACTGAAACTGATTAGAAACTTTCCAAATCCCCGTCTTTGAAATGGAGGTAGTGTCATAATACATGCCACGTTATTACCCTCAGGCGATACCTTTTCTTTCGAGAAATATCCAACTACGTGGGCTCCATACTTGTCAACTTCAGTCAGAACATAAAATAAAAATGGCTCCACGTCAAAGTACAGAGTCTTGTGATCAAGAAACAGCTTGGCCAAAAGACACAGGTTCTGACAGTACAGCTTATGTTCCGTTCCATCCACCTCGTAAACGGATATATTTCCATCCCTGTAAATTTCAACTCCTGGGGGTTGCCTTGCTTTACAGGAATATAAATGATTTCTGTATGTTGAGACACATTTCGTGTACTTTAGACAGTACTCGCAAACCCATAATTTGGGACATTTTCCGTAGTCTTCGGGGTACGGTGAAAAATACCAGCAGTCAATTTCGTATTTTCCAAATTGCACACAATCAATGTATTTCACTTTTGTGATACTTTCGTACTCCTTTTCCAAAGCTGCAGACGCTGGATCTAGCTCAGCGTAGGGTTTCTGAACATGGTTAATTTCATCGTGTTTCCGCTTTAAGTTCCTCGTGACCTGAAAAAAAAGGAGTTCGTTGGAATCATAGTTGCCTTCGTTGGAACAAGGATGATGGATTTTTTGTTCCGACCACTGAAAATGGGGAGGAACTTTGTATTCGGGTGTGTTTTAGTTTTTTTTCGGCTTTTTTTCCACGCAAAATCAGGCACCACAAAGAATAATCAGAAGTAGGTGAGTAACATTTAATATTATAGCCCTTTCAGTCGTTATTCGAACCACATTTTAAAATTTCTTAAAAAGTTCCCAGTGTCGAGAAAAGCCGGAGTAGTCTAGAGCAACAAGAGGTAATGCCTATTTTCGGAGAGAGGTCAACCTGTCAAAGTCGCGGAATATGTTACTCAATTAGCCTAATCTTTTTCCTCGGGGGCGTAACAAAGATCTAATCAGATTAATTTTTCCACCTGAGTTAATTTTTGGGGGGACTAATTGCGGAAATTTTGTTCAATTGTTAATTAAGTGGATAACTCTATGACATCGCTGAGGGAACCAAACTCTTATCAGATTAATTTTCTTCACTTGAAGTAATTTATTGTAATTGAATTGAGCCTCGCTGAAGATTATCAGCTTATCGGGAATTGAACTGAAGTAACTTTATCTATTTTTCCGGGTTAATGGTTTTCAATCTAAGATAAGTGCCAAATCCCCCTGAAAATTAATTATCCTTGATTAAACATCTTTCTATAATCTATTGAAATTTAAAATTTTCAGCTTCAGTGTTTTCCTAAGCTTATATTTAGCCAATGAAATAAATTCAATTGAATGAACCAATAGAAGTTTTTCTTGATCAATCCACATCAGAGTTCAGGTTCAGTTTTATTATCTCTCATTGTTGCTTTTCTCGCAGTTCCTAACAATTTCGGTCTCAAAACTTGGAAACAAAAAATTTGAATCTCTCACAATCACTTCTTTTGCTTGAATTCGATCTGATTTGATTATATTTCAATTCAATTTCTTCAGCTAATCTTGTTGATTTAACTATCTCTCAATCTCTAACATTTGATTGATCAAAAACTCCAATATTTTTTCCTGATCTTTTTCTAGCAATATTTAATTAAAATTTGCTTCCTAAAGTTCTCCAGAACAAATCACTTGAGTCTTCGAGTTCTCAAATTTCCAAATCTGCTTCGATAGAATAATTGAAAACTTGACAATTCCTTTCATAAGTTAGATCAACTAAATAATACATTCATTTCGAGCAATTTATAATCCATTTTTCCCCACTCTGTTCTCCAAAAGAAATTTTCTTGAAGTTGTACTCTCTTAAGATTTCCACAATCTGCTATCCTATAAAGTGAAAACCCTATTAGTCTTTTCTTAAAATTGATTGATAAACGTTTTGCATTGGAGTCTTATTTCATTATATTGCTCACAATTTCTTTGCTACCTTTCACAGCTTCAGTTATCAATCGATCCTGCCTCCAACATCCAATATCTCACTCAAACCTCAAACCCTCTTGCTTGTTCATCCATCTCTCAATTTTTCAGTGATTCCAGTCATTCATCCAGTAAGATTTCCTTCAATAAACTTTTCATTTTTTGTCATTTAAGGTTGAGATTTTTTTCCCACTTAAGTGTTCAGGAAACTTTTTTTTCTTTTCCTATCAATGACTTGAATTCCACCCTTCGTTCTGTAACCCAATCATTTTCTGGTCTTCAGAAGAAGAAAAAAATAATAAATCAAAAACTTTTTTTCCCACTGTTTGAACTCTTGATTGTTAGATTTGGTAGTTCAGTTTTCGAGAAAAGCAAAGTCCTCCAAAAAATGGGTGAAAAGCCCACCACTGAATATTTCGAAGGCCGTAGAACGTCGGGTAACTTAAAAAACATACTAGCTGATTAAAAAAGCACACAATGTATTATTCGTTTTTTTCCTTGGTACCAGTTTTTGAAAATCGGTCAAGTAGTTCTCGAGAAAAATTAAGCAGTCAAGTCCGTAGTTTTCGGGGTACGGTGAAAAATATCAGCAGTCAATTTCGTATTTTCCAAATTGCACACAATCAATGTATTTCACTTTTGTGATACTTTCGTACTCCTTTTCCAAAGCTGCAGACGCTGGATCTAGCTCAGCGTAGGGTTTCTGAACATGGTTAATTTCATCATGTTTCCGCTTTAAGTTCCTCGTGACCTGATAAAGAAGGAGCTCGTTGGAATCATAGTTGCCTTCGTTGGAATAAGGATGGATTTTTTGTTCCGACCACTGAAAATGGGTAGGAACTTTGTATTCGGGTGTGCTTTAGTTTTTTTTCGGCTTTTTGTTTTCCACGCAAAATCAGGTACCACAAATAATGATCCGAATTAGGTGAGTAATATTTAATATTATAGCCCTTTCAGTCGTTATTCGAACCACATTTAAAATTTCTTAAAAAATTCCAGTGTCGAGAAAAGCCGGAGCAGTATAGAGCAACATGAGGTAATGCCTATTTTCGGAGGGAGGTCAACCTGTCAAAGTCGCGTGAATATGTTACTCAATTAGCCTATTCTTTTTTTTTCTCGGTGGCGTAGCAAAGACCTTATCAGATTATTTTTTCCACCTGAGTTAATTTTTGGGGGTATATGACCGTACTCATTGGGGAAATTTTGTTCAATTGTTAATTAAGTGGATAACTCTATGACATCGCTGAGGGAAACAAACTCTTATCAGATTAATTTTCTTCACTTGCATTAATTTATTGTAATTGATTTGAGCCACGCTGAAGATTATCAGCTTATCGGGAATTGAACTGAAGTAACTTTATCTATTTTTCCGGGTTAATGGTTTTCAATCTAAGATAAGTCCCTAAGCCCCCTGAAAATTAATTATCCTTGATTGAACATCTTTCTATCTATTGAAATTTAAAATTTTCAGCATCAGTGTTTACCTAAACTTATATTTAGCCAATAAAAGAAATTCAATTGAATGAACCAATAGAAGTTTTTCTTGATCAATCCACATCAGAGTTCAGGTTCAGTTTTACTATCTCTCATTATTGCTTTTCTCGCAGTTCCTAACAATTTCGGTCTCAAAACTTGGAAACAAATAAATTGATTCTCCCACAATCACTTCTTTTGCTTGAATTTGATCTGATTATATTTCAATTCAATTTCCTCAGCTACTCTTGTTGGTTTAACTATCTCTCAATCTCTAACATTTGATCAATCAAAAACACTAATAATTTTTTTCATGATCTTTTTCTAGCAAAATTTAATTTAAATTTGCATCCTAAAGTTCTCCAAAAAAAATCACTGGAGTCTTCGAGTTCTCAAATTTCCAAATCTGCTTCGATAGAATAATTGAAAACTTGACAATCCATCTCATAAGTTAGATCAATTAAATCATTCATTCATTTCGAGCAAGTTATAATCTATTTTTTTCCCACTCTAAGCTCCAAAAGAAATTTCCTTGAAGTTGTACTATCTAAAGATTTTCACAATCTGCTTTCCTGTAAAGTGAAAAACCGGTTAGTCTTTTCTTAAAATTGATTGATAAACGTTTTACATTGGAGTCTTATTTCATTATCTTGCTCACAATTTCTTTGCTATCTTACACAGCTTGATTTATCAATCGATCCTGCATCCAACATCCAATATCTCACTCAAACTTCAAACCCTCTTGCTTGTTCAACCATCTTTCAATTTTTCAGTGATTCCAGTCATTTATCCAGTGAAATTTCCTTCAATTAACGTTTCATTTTTTGTCATTTAAGGTTGCAACTTTTTTTCCCATTGAAGGGTTCAGGAAACTTTTTTTCTTTTCCTATCAATGACTTGAATTCCACCCTTCGTTCTGTAACCCAATCATTTTCTAGTCTTCAGAAGAAAAAGAAATAATGAATCAAAAACCGTTTTGTGAGATGAAAAAAAATTGTTGTATCACTTTTATTTCTCAATTAAATACTCATATATTATATATATATATAGACCCTTGCGATTTTTTTTCAAAATTTTTCCCAATTTTTTAAATTTATTTTTATTTTACGCAAAAATCCCGGCTTTCATAGCTTCGCAGTGAAAGCAGAGCATTTTTTCTTCATAAAAATTGCTTAATTCTCCAGTAGTTTTGTAGAAAATTGACTTTTTTGATTTCAGAACCGTGCGCTTACGGAAAATTAAGAAAAAACACTACGAAAAATTGCTGGCAATGTCTTCTACACTTCTAAGTTAAATCCAGCAAACAGATAAAAAGTTTTTCACTCTCGCCGGAAGAAATACAAATAATAATTCAAAAATTGTTTTGTGAGCTGAAAAAAAATGTGGTATCACTTTTATTTCTCAATCAAACACTCATATATTGTATATAGACTCTTCGGAAATTTTTTCCCAATTTTTTTATTTTTATTCTACGCAAAAATCTCGGCTTTCACTGCTTCGCAAAAATCTCAGCTTTCACTACTTCGCAAATATTAAAAAACGATCCCTCAACGTTAGAGAAAATATGGATATTACAACATTTCCACAAAGTGTGCGTCATCATTTTTGTGATTATGATTTATGTAAGCGACCGATGACGGAAAACCAGTTAGGACTTGTAATGGCTCAGGAGGAGTTGGAGTTGATTTGAAACTTAGAAAATAACTGGGATAGAGTGATTCCCAGAGAAAACGAGAAAGAGACAAGTGATATAGAAAATAAAGAAAAAACTCCATCTCCGAATGCGATGTCCCCTATTCTATTCACTTCTCCGCGTGTAAAAAGAAAGAGAAAGTTCGACTCTTCATTTCAAAAGGAAACTGACACCCCGAATGAGACGTTGGACAGATCGCATCTTCTGTCATCGAATGGAGAAAAGGTGGATGTTCACAGTGAAGCAAAGTAAGTGAAAAGGATGCTTCATTTTTGAGGTTGCCCAGACTATAAAACGATTTTTTGTACTACCTGTTTCTAAAATATAGTTGTGAAAAAGAGTGAATTACAAGTACTCTGACAAAAACGCATAATATAATAATCATCAACAACAAAACTTTCACAATTTGAGTATACAGTATAGGCAAAATAAAAACAATAGAGTCCGCATAAGTCCA